TTTCCCAGAGTGAGGCCCTTCCATTGCACTTCGGTAGGGTTGACCTCTGCGATCGCCCCAAATGTGGGTGACTCGGACACGTTATTTCTAAGTGTGGGGTCAGCGTCCGCGCTACCCCGATAATTCATCTCAAAAACAGACTTTTCCCATTTTACACAGAAATTACTTGCAGGGTCGGTAAATCTCACTTCTTATGCGATCGATGCAATAAGATTTTTGGGGTTTCTTTTTAGGAAGTCCTTGGCATACCTAATTGACACCATGGAATACAGTCATCAATAATTGAAGGAAATAACAACTTTAGTTTCCAGGTTCTAGTTACTGAATATCTTGATGTTAGATTTCGAAATGCATCATTTCATCATAAACAGAAAGCTTGGAATTTTATTTTCAAATACACTTTTATTATTAATGAAAAAGGTCAGCAATAAATTGATGTTAAGGATTACATTTTTAGCTCGATAACAAAAATTTTCTGCATATTTCATGAAATAATTGCAAATGACGACAACAAATTGGATAAGAATTCTTTCTCTCGAATATTATGTAAATAAATGATAATAAAGAAAGAAATACATTTTCCTGTGATGCTAATAATAAAGGAACGGAAAAGGGTTTTGGACATTTGTGCAATTTTATGTCCACCACCCCCCTTCCGAAAAGGACAGAACGACACTCCTTCCTTCTTCCAACGCATGATGTAGATACAAACTTTACTTTGGTCGTTCCAACTCATCGCAAAGTTGACTTGAGCGCGACTAATATAAACATTCTTATCATTAATTAACCTAACATACTCAGGGATGACGCTAGGGTCTCACCCCCACAACTTTGATACGAGGCACCCCTATCTACTACATGCCGAGTTTAAAGTTTCCTAACCTGGGGTCCACAAACCCCGAAGGAATATTGTGGGAAATGCTAGTTTCAGCAGCGGTTTTGTTTTTTTTTTTTTTTCTACCTAAGTTATATTGTCAATCATCAACTATAATAATCGATAGAGCCGGTGCTCAATACACCAAACCTCTCAACCGTGTGAGGGATCCATGCCTACTAGGGGTGGGGAACAAAATTGTTAATTTCAGTCGCGCTTATTTTTTAAAATTGAAAAAAAAAAAGAAAGAAAGAAAAGAAAACGGTGCTAATAGATGACAGGACTTGACAAATTTACTATTTTGCTGATCGTTTGACGGAAAAAAAATAATGCCAATTCGGCGTTTTTAGGGTTAGTTGAAGTCTAGGGGTAGAACTTTTCCGTAAACATTTGACGAATGAGATAATCTGAAATTTACATTGATACATGATTTAGCGTATCTTTCACCAGCTCCTATCTTGCACTATTTACATTAATCGGACTATTGTCCTCATCTTTGTCGCCATATTTATTACATTTACAACGTTTCGGCCGTTGTACGCTCCGGCCTTATTCAGGTGGTTGGAATGTCGAACTCAACATGCATTTACATGAAAAAAACTCAAAAATGTTATTGTTAGGTGATAAGCTATAAAAATCATAAATGGAAAAGCTTAGTAAAAATTACGTATTGTTTTAAAAGCAAAATTTAAACATCATTATATTTTTTGTTGTGATGTGGGGCTTGTATGTCAAGACAATACCTAACTCGACCGCGTTAGTCGTAATAGTAGTGATATACAATGCTCAGCTAGACAAATCACAGATTGCGATAGAAATTAAATTTAATGCTTGTCTGACTATTTTTGAGCAAAGAACAAATTCTTTATTTACACCGGTTTTTACTTTTAATTCCTAAACAAAAGTTTTGCTCAGAAAAGGTATACATGCTTTCTATTTTAAACAATTAATCTTTTTTTATTTGCGATTTATTTCAACGCTTTAATGTCAGATTGTCACTGTTCTCTCTCCCTTCTGATGAGAGTTTCTACCTTCCTTATATAAGAATGATGAGGCTCCGGGAGATTAAGAAATGGGTTTCTTATGTCGAGTCCTGATTGGTCAATAAATCCTATTTTTGACCACGTGGTGTGCTTTTCACTACGTCCGAACGTGCGCCGTCCTTGTTTTTGACCCCACAGGGCATGGTAAGGAATGAATTCCCGCGCAATTGTATTTTTTTAATACACGTGGTGTGAATTAATTTTTATTGTGTGTATGTGTGTGTGGAAAATAAAATAAGAAACAGCACAATACTCCCCCCCAGATTGGAAAATATATGAAAGATACATATGTTTTTCAATATGTGATATATTCTTTAAAATGTTTCGGCCAGTGGACTTTTCTGCCGGTTTTCGTTGTAGGTGTGATGTCAGTATTTTGTTTTTTAGCTTCCTCATTTTCTGTGTGAATATGTGTTTATGGAGGTATTGTATGAGGTTGTTCGTCGATGTACGCTGGTTTGATGCGATCAATAGCGATATTATCTTTCTTTTCTTTTCTCATAACAGTAAAATATTTTTCATGCCTGTCCAGAACTTGATATGGTCCTGAATAATTTGGACAGAGTGGTTTTTAAATGCGTCATTTCTGATAAATATATATTTGCAGGTGTGAAGATCGTTTGGGATGTAAGTTTGTTTCTCTGTTTTCCTGGTTGGTGCAAAGTTGAGAAGAGACATTTTATGTTTTAATTCTGTTACAAACGTTGTTGTAGGTGAAATGTCTGTCTTGTGATTAAAATACTGTCCAGGTAATGTTAATGCTGATCCGAAAACTACCTCTGCAGGTGTGCTTTGCAAATCTTCTTTCACCGTGTTTCTTATCGCTAAAAGAATTAGCGGTAAATTGTCTGTCCAGTCCGCATTATTTAAATTCATAGCTAGAGAAGCTTTTAACTGTCTGTGGAATCTTTCAACCATCCCATTTGCACAAGGGTGATAGGCAGTTGTTTTGATGTGATTCGTTCCTAACAATTGGGTAAATTCAGCAAAAAGTGTTGATTGGAATTGTGAACCTCTATCTGTTGTTACTACTGAAGGTACTCCAAAAATTGCTATCCAGTCCTGCAGTATAACTCTGGCTATTGTTGCAGCTGAAGTGTCTTTGACTGCTATGGCTGTAGGCCATCTGCTAAATCTGTCAACTATAGTAAGAATATGTGTATGTCCTTTTGAGGTGGGTAAAGGTCCTACTAAGTCGACATGAATGTTGGTGAATCTAGCATCAGGTATGCTAAAAGTGCCAAGTGGTGATTTCGTGTGTCTGTGGATTTTGTTCTTTTGGCAAGGTATACAAGTTTTAGTCCAATTGCGAATGTCCGTGTTCATATTGGGCCAAACAAAGCGTTCTGCTATTAATTTTACAGTGGCTCTTTTTCCTGGATGAGATAAATTGTGAAAATGTTGAAAAACTAGTCGTCTGATGTTCGGTGGTATATATGGACGCGGATGTGTTTGTGATACATCACAATAAAATTTTGTTGTACCAAATGGTATCGGCATTTCTTTCAGTTGTAAGGATGTTTTTTGTTGTACAACTGGAAGTGTTTCATCTGTTTTCTGCTCTTGTGCGATCAATTCCATACTTAAAGAACTGGAATTTAAAGAGGCTATTGTAGATCGAGATAATGCGTCTGCTATAATGTTCTCTTGTCCCTTAATATATCGGATGTCTGTGGAGAACTGGGCGATATAATCGAGATGTCTGATTTCTCGTGGACCATATTTATCTACATGTGTATGTAGTGCATATGTTAATGGTTTGTGATCTGTATAAATGCAAAAATTTCTTCCTTCCAGCAAATGTTTAAAATGTTTAATTGCAAGGTAAATTGCTAGAAGCTCCCTTGAAAAGGTGCTGTATTTCGTCTGTGTCTTGCTTAGCTTAGCAAAAAAAAATGATATAGGCGTCATTGTGTTGTTAGCAATTTGGTGTATGACTGCTCCTACAGCTATTTCAGATGCATCTGTTGTAAGCGTGAGTTTTGTGTCCTCACTGTCCGTTACGTAGTTTAGTTTTGTAAAGTTGGCCAAAGCAGTTTTAGCTTGTTTGAAGGCTTCTAGGCTATGCCCTTCTAACTTTAACTGTTGGTTCTTTGTTTTGTTTTGTAACAAATCTGTTAACGGTGCAAGTAATGTAGAACAGTTAGGTAAAAATCGTCTGTAATAGTTAATCACGCCTATGAATCTGCGTACTTGTCTGACTGATGTTGGTTGTGGGAAATTTGAAATTGCACTTACTTTCTCGGGTAGTGGAGATATTCCGTCCTTGTCAATTAAGTGTCCGAGGAAATTAACCTTTGGTTGGCTGAAAATGAATTTCTCTGTATTTATTTTCAGACCGTAATGTGATATTCTTTCAAATGTTTGCTCTAAGTGCTGTCTGTGCTCGTCGAGTTTTCTGCTGGCAATTAAAACGTCATCTACATATGCAAATATAAATGGCAGACCTCTAAAAACTTCGTCTATTAACCTCTGGAAGGTTTGACAGGCGTTCCTAAGCCCGAAAGGCATCCTTACGAACTCGTAAAGGCCAAATGGTGTGGTCAGTGCAGTTTTATGAATGTCCTCTTCTGCCACTGGAACTTGGTAGTACGCCTTTACAAGATCCAATTTGGAAAATATGGTGGCGCCTTGTAGACCGATGGCGAAATCGTGGATATGTGGAATAGAGTATCTATCCGGGACTGTTTTAGCATTTAATCTTCTAAAATCGCCACAAGGACGCCATGTTGTAGAGTCGGACTTTTGCACCATGTGTAGCGGTGAAGACCAAGCACTTTTCGAGGGTCGGATGATCCCTTGTTGTAATAAATGTTGAAACTCGTTTTTCGCAATCTTATACTTGTCCGGTTTCAATCGTCTGGGGTGGCATAGACAGGTTGTCCAGTTGTCTTGATGTGGTGCTTGGCATTATGTTTTATGGTGTCTGTGTTTTTAAATGGCTGGGAGAGTTGTGGATATTTTTTTTTTTTAGCTGACGGATGTACTGGTCCTCGGGTAAGGCAGAACTGATTCCAGTAGACTGGTATTTCGAGGTGAGTCCTCTTACTGAAATCTTGGTTTGATTATCCACCAGTGTGCGATTAGTCATGTCGACAGACAGGTTGAATCTGGCTAAAAATCTGCCCCAATATAGGCGTTGTTACACTGGCTATGGTAAAATTCCAGAAAAAATTCCGTCGCATGCCGAGATTGATATTGAGCGATTTCTCTCCGTAAGTTGGTATTTTGGTATCGTTAGCTGCTTGAAGATGATAAGACTGTGGCATAGTCTCCTGATTTTGTGTTGGTGGTATCACGCTTATTTCAGCTCCGGTGTCTATTAAAAGGTTATATCCATTAATTTTGTCGCGGATATAAAACAGACGACCTTTTGTTAAAATCCAGCAACAGCCGTCGTCTCTACTGGCTGGAATTTCCGTTTCCCGCATTCGCGTTGTTGAAAGAACAAGGATGTGTACAACGTCTCGCCTCAGGACCAAACCTTTTGTGGTAGTAACAAATTTCATCTTTTCGATTGCGGTTGTCAGTCCGGCCTCTGCTGAAACTTCGCTTTCTGTAGCCTGGACATTTATCGCGGCGGTACTGTCGGTCTTTTTTTGCAGTAAGCCTTGTAATTGTATAGACAACCTTTCTACAGTAGACTTGAGGTCGTTAAATTCCCTGTCTCTTTGTTGGGCTGGTTGTGGTTGGATAGAGTTTACCCTGCGGCTTCGAAAACTTTCATGGATCCGATCTGCAATGTCCGCGAGTTTTTCTGTCTGCGTTTCCTCCGTCATGGGTGCGAGGATTTGTGTTGTTGTAGTGGGTAACTTGTCCAGCCATAAGCTCCGCATAATGTTCTCGGACATTTTGTTGTCACCCAGTAAGGTTCGCATGTGCCTCAATAACTGCGATGGGGTGCGGTCTCCCTAATTCAACCTGAGTGAAAAGGTTGCGTAGCATGGCTTCGTTCGAGGCACCGGTCCGTTTTAAAATTGCTTCCTTGAGTCTATCGTACGGGTTGTCATCCGGGACATTTTCCAGTAAATCCATTACTTCCTCGACGATGTCTGCTGGCAGTTTTTCCACTAAGTAACAATACCGGGTTCTCTGGGAGGTGATTCGCTTCGCATCAAATAATGCCTGGATTTGAACGAACCAGGACTTAGTGTTAGTCGTGTTGAAAGCCGGGATATTCAACGATAGTGTGGCGAGAGGGGTTTCCGAAGATTGTGATTCCATTGTGTCCTTCCTCTTCGTTTTGTTTGTTTTTTTAAATGTAGTGTCTCACGTCGGTCACCAGTTTGTAGAGGGTGCAAAGGAGTCCCTCAAACAAATAATAAAAAGAAAATACACTACAAATAAAATAAAATAAACTTTTGTTTATTTTTGTAAAGAATTATTTTTTTCCTTGTACAAAAATGAAATTGTCCGTAAAGCTGCGGAAGAAAAAGAGAAAGAAAGGAACTGGGAATGTGAGAGGGAAAGGTAGGACTATGTCTAGCGAGCGAGATGAGAGAAAGAGAGGGTGAAAGAATGTTCACTGATACGTGATACTGCCTGTTGTGTGAACCGCTGAATCCTCTCGGTGTGTGTGTGCTCGAAACTGTCCGTGTCGCTTTGATGTCAGCTTGTCGCTGTTCTCTCTCCCTTCTGATGAGAGTTTCTACCTTCCTTATATAAGAATGATGAGGCTCCGGGGAGATTAAGAAATGGGTTTCTTATGTCGAGTCCTGATTGGTCAATAAATCATATTTTTGACCACGTGGTGTGCTTTTCACTACGTCCGAACTTTTGGGTGCGCTGTCCTTGTTTTTGGTACCCCAATTGTATTTTTTAACAGGGCATGGTTAATTTTATTGGAATGAAAATAAAAATCCCAGCACAGACATTGTATTTTTTTTTTAAGCTTTTGAAAACATTTTAAAAACATTGACACCTTTTCTCGTGGTCGTGAATTAATTTTTTTTATTTTGGGAGTTTTTATTGTTCAAAATTTTGTTCAAAAAATCTTGTTTTGTTTACGTCAATGACCGAAAATAAAATAACATTTTTGGGAAAATTAAATATTTTTTGCATACCAACCCACCTCCAAATTAATTTTGGAAATTTCAATTTGGAAATTCTTGCAAAATAATTATCGGATTTTATTGAAATTAATATTTTTAAATTATTTTTGAAATTTTTTTTTTTTTTTTAGAAAACCTTGGTAAAAAATATTTTTTTGCATACCACCCACCTCCACTTAGGGAATTTCATAAAATTTCGAGAAATTAATTTTTTGAGGCGGCGATTTTTTCCTTTTAGAAGGAAAGAAAGTAAAACAGTTGGTCCTTTTCACCAAAATTCTGCTCTGAATATAAAAAACGCGATAAAAATATTTTGAAAATTAATTTAGGAAAATTTTATATTATTCTAAATTTAATTATTTTTTGTAAGGTATCTTCAAACGTAATGAAAAGTCAATAAAATATTAAATAATTGCTGAAAATATTATATTACTTTGTAAAAATTACTAGGTAATTAAAAAAAAAAAAAATGCTTTCACTTAGATTTCGTGAAATTATGTCAATTCTGGTCATCCATACTAGCTGTCATCACCTCATAACTTATCAGATAATGTGAATAAAAACATGAGAACAGAGGACCCATTGTTAAGAAATGCTGGCATACTCTATTTTTTCTGCTGTAAATAAGTAATATTTGTTTCAAATTAATTTAACTTTAAATTTGCTAATTTTACTCAAATAACGTTTCACAAATATATATTTTATTTTTGGAAGACTTTTAAAATCGATAATTTTGTTTTGTTTACAAATTTCTTAAAATTAAAAAAATGGCGGCTTTTAAGAAAAATTTCTTAAATCGGCCAAAAAAATTGAGATTCTATCTATATAATATTTTTTTAAAATAAAAAAATTGTATGTGGAAAAAGTTTTATGGACAGACAAAACCAAAATTGTGTTGTTTGGACGTAACTCTAGAAATCATATATAGACGAAAGACTTTTAAAGCATCAAATTAAACAATCCAATGCTTACTTGTCAAGGGTTACAGGATAATTTACTTTCATTTGTTGAAAATGATGTAAATATACTGAAATGGCCAAATCAATCCCAATATTTAAACCCAATTGAGAATCTGTGATGTTATTTGAAAATTCAAATCCAATCAAGAGCTCCAACAGACATCCCAGATCTGAAGATCACATACGAAGAAGAATGAAACAAAATAGTAACTAAAATTTGCAAATCATTGAGAACTACAAGAGATTGGTTGCTGTAGAAGTGAATAATGGCCATTCTACAAAGTATTAAATGAAAATTATGTATTCTTTTTTACATTGTACAAATACTTTTTTCACCCGTTGCAGATTTCGTAAGTTTTAGGTACTTTGGCTTTGTAGTCTTACTTATGAAGACATTTGCCGATGAAATATTAGAAAATTCACAGTAAATTTTAAATAGTTATTGCTCTTACTTTCTGATAATGTCATGTATAGACACTTGTATTTAGAAAAATCAGCACGTTTATACACACAAAATATTTTTAAATAAAAACATTTTTTCACATAATATATAATTAAATGAGCAATAGTAAATTAATTGTATAAATTATATCATTATTTCTGGGTTTTTTTTTCAATTGTTAGCTATTGGTTTAAACATTAAGAATGTGGTATTAACAAAAGATCTCCTCTTGTCCTGATGATTTGCTTTTATTGGGCAGATCAACTATGAAATCTTGTGATTGTGATGTTGCTGATTGGCCCAAGAAGGGTATCTTAGCAAAGAGACTTCTCGTCTCCTTGACACTGATGAAAACAATGGTTTGTTTTTATTGATAGGTCAGCTATCAGTTCTTGTGTTTATGTTGCTGATCAGCCCAAGAAAGGGATCCTAGCAAAAGATCTTCTCTTCTCCTTGGCACTGATGAAAATGATGGATGGTTTTTATTCAGCAGATCAGATATCAGCTCCCAATGTTTGATGATGCTGACAGGCCAAAGAAGGGGAACTTAACAAATGATCTCTTTGGCACTGATGAAAATGATGGTTTGGTTTTAGTAGGCATAGATACTAGATAAACCAACAGCAGTTTGCTATGAACTTTATCATTAGGGCTGGTAGTTTTTGAAACCATGGTATTGCACTCAATTTTAATGTTGGGGTTTGACATTTTACACTGTAGATATTTTTGTTTTTGCTTCTACTTTTATAACATGTAACATTATTAAGCATTTTGAAGCTGAAATAAATCTTCTCATCAAATTTTTTTTATACACTTCTTTATAATTTCCCCAGTTTAAGTAGAAACATTTTCCCCATAATATATAATTGATTTGAGGAGACACTTATGAAATTACTTCATTTTTATTATGGATTTAATATTCTAATTGCTAACTGTTAGTTAAATAAAGACTTCAGTTTCTTTCCCAGATCAACTTTTATCTCTCAAGTTTGTGTTAATCCTTACTGTCTGATGTAAGGAGACTTATCAAAGGATCTTCTCTTTTCCTACGCTCTGATGAATGTGATGGTCATTTTTATTGGGGAGAGATACCTGCAGCAGACAAGCTTGCACCAGGAGGTGCCGGCTATGGACCTGGTCATATGGCTATTGTCATTAGTCCAAGAGAAAGTCTAAAAAAAACTTAAAAAATCAACAGATATTTTTCAAGATTCATATGTGTATTGTTTCTGAATTGACAATGTTCTGATTTTAATCACATACATTTCATAAGATATGATGTTATGGTGAAGCAATCTAGTTTCATGGGTTCTCTCACAAATGTTTGATCTTCACCAGTGGCTGCTGCTGCTGTATTATTAAATTGATAATTGCATGCATCTCTCATAGACTGCTTTCTTATATTATTCACTGCTACCATTAACATATCATTTATGACTTCTTTCATTACAGATATTTTGGCTGTACAAATCCACATTAGTTATTAATGTGAAATTCATTGATGGAAAAGACATTTCACTTTCCATGAAAACACAAATATATGCTACATGGCTCATCTGAAAGTGATGGATCTCCAATGTCAAAAGCCTGACAATGAACTTTACCTGCCAAGAAATAATGTACTTTGAAATGTGTGGTTTATCTTTTTACAAAAACCCATTTAATGTTATGTACGAATAAACAGGAAAGACAGGACATATTCATATAAAGGCTGCTATATTGTTGCGAAGTCAGATATTATGCAAGATGGAAATACATGTTACAAAGAAACAATATTCTTGCAAGGTTTGTGTATCTGCATTTTCAATGGAATCAAATTTAGTGAGACATATACGTACACACACAGGAGAGAAACCATATTCTTGTGAAGTTTGTGAATCTGCATTTTCACAGAAATCACACTTAGTGAAACATAAGCGTACACACACTGGAGAGAAACCCTATTCTTGTGAAGATTGTGGATCTGCATTTTCGCACAAGTCAAGTAGGGATAGCCATATGCATACACACACTGGAGAGAAACCACATTCTTGTGAATATTGTGGATCTGCATTTTTATACAAGTCAACTATGGTCATGCATATGCGTACACACACTGGCGAGAAACCATATTCTTGTGAGGTTTGTGGATCTGCATTTAGACAGAAATCACACTTAGCGAAACATATGCATACACACACTGGAGAGAAACTTTATTCTTGTGAAGTTTGTGTATCTCTATTTTCACTGAAGCAAGAGTTTGTCAAACACATGCATACACATTGTGGAGAGAAATCATATTCCCATTAATTTTGTACAACTTCATTTTCATATTTAGTGATACAAATTCATACAGACACTGGAGTGATACTATATTATTGGGAAATTTGTGTAGCTGTACTTTCATGGAAATGTGAACT